AACAGTATCGAAGAAAAATCTAGGGTTATTTCCGAGGGTCAAAAAATCGACGAAAAAAAAAAAAGAAAAAAAACCGTGAAAACGTCACCTTCAAATTTAAATACGCAATTCACAATTCCAATAAGACCGATGGTCGCCAATGCGCGCGCGCGCTGGCTGACTCGCACGCGGCATGAAACGTACCTCGGGGACGGGTTCACTCGTGCGTGCGCGTCCGCTCCTCCTCGCGACGACGATGCGACACGCCGGGACGACGAATCCGCGGTTTCGGAAAGGCGAGGATGTACTCCAAAGCGAGGCAGACGAGGGCTCGATCGCGCATTCACGAGGGATACGTACGTACGAGGTTCGGCGAGAACTGTCGGGCAGGCCGCAGGCCCCTTCCGCGCGGCCCCGGCGACAATTGGCGGCACGCCGCCTGATTGGCCGCGGCGCGGCCAATCAATGTCGCGGACGCGCTCGCCGGCGAGCGCGCGCGATTCGAAACGCGGAGCGGTACTCTTGCGCGTCGTAACTAATCTGTGATTTTTTAACGCATGCAATTATTGGAAAAACAAAAATTATGTTACAAAGAGATTTAGTATAACATAATAATTATTCATAAGATTTCACTTACGAAACATGCAAAACTTATAACTAGAGGATCTTAATAATTGAATCTTTTTCTAACAATAAGATCTATTTGCGTCACAAAGTTAAGTTATTGCAACTATAACTTTCAATATATATCTGAAAATATTCTTAAATATTCTTTCGAAATAAAAGATGAATTCTTTTCCTTTTGGTAGGTTTTATCATTTCGACTCGAGATAGAAACCGAAGTTTGATCTTGGAATTTCGTGCAGACATAGAAAACGAAACGGCGAGAAATCTATTTTTAAGAGAAAGTTGCAGAATTCTACGACCTATCAAATGATCTATTTTCTTTTTTCCACTTTTGATTGAATATACAAATTTCTTTCACTTTTTTTACGCGCTTTGCTAAAATTTTTTTGCAGAGTAAACTCATTAAGTGCGGAGTAAGTGCATTATTTATTTATTTCTGCACCGACTAAAAAAATGATAACACTCGGATTAGTAATTTCTAAGAAAAAAGTACATAAAGATTGAAAGAAATACAGAATGTTCTATATAAAAAATTGCTAAAACTAGTCAGCTGTTATTTTTTAATGCATGCAGTTATTGGGGAAACAAAAATTGTGTTGAAAAGAGGAAAATCTGCAATTTTTAATGAATATAAATAAAATAATTGTATACCAGTTTATTTTATTGAAAATAAGTAATGAAAAAAGTGCTAATAATAACATATGTAAACTAATCATAAATATTTTCAAAAAAGTGAGCATTATTTGAATTTTTACGAAATTCTGTTCTTTTACAAAAACTTGTAAAAACTTTTCTAACGTGCCATTTTTAATGTTATTGACGATCCTTTTAATAGCTGCTATTAAATCTGGCACTGATGAAAATATTTATCATTATATAGTTTATAGTTTATGTGAATTATTAGCACTTTTTTCATTACTTTTTATCAATAAAATAAACAGATATACAAGAAGCATTGTATCCATTTAAAACTGCAGACTTTCTTTTTTCCAACACAATTTTTGTTGTTTTCTCAATAACCGCATGCATTCAAAAATGACAGCTGATTAGTTTCAGCAATTTCCTATGAGACACCCTGTATTACCCTATCTTTTAATTATTCGAAATGTAGGAGTTGTAGAAATAGTTGATTCGATGTTATCATAAGGGATAGTTTGGCAATTGGTTAAAAATATCAAACATTATTGATCGAGAATGCAATGCGATTTATGATTTTTTACAAAAATTTCCTATGAGACACCCTGTATTACCCTATCTTTTAATTATTCGAAATGTAGGAGTTGTAGAAATAGTTGATTCGATGTTATCATAAGGGATAGTTTGGCAATTGGTTAAAAATATCAAACATTATTGATCGAGAATGCAATGCGATTTATGATTTTTTACAAAAATTGGCTTTTTCGATATATTAGAGATGAATCATTCAATAAATATTCAGAGAAAAGAAGATAGCGAAAATAAAGATCGTGGAAATATTTTTTTATCAGATATAAATATTTTTTTGAAAATAAATTTTATGTATATAAATGACAATTGTTTGCACAAATAAAAATAATATTTATAATGCAGAGCTGTAATTGAAAGTTATTATAGCACATATTAATATCTCAATGTAGTATTAAAAAGCAATTATTTTGTTTGCTATCAAAGCAAATTGATAAGAATATACCTCATTTAGATTTTTTATTTCATGTATTTCAGATTAAGATTCATCAATTTGAAATTTTTCAATATTGAATCTACTTTGCTACTTTTCATTTATTTAATTATGAAATAATCTTTACTTATTTTTCGAATCTCTTTAATAATAATCAACACATATTAATTATTTATTAATTATTGCTCTATAATAGTATTATTTATTATTCTTTTCCATAAATAATTATATTATTTATTCAGAAACATTGCTCTTTTTTTTTCATGAATATAACAAACTAGAAAATTGTATATCTGATGATTTATGTTAGCGTGTTTTGTTATACTAAATATTTAATATTTTCGCTATTCGAGAAAGCAATTTTATGGAGAAAAAGCCGATTTTTACATATTGCACGTTAATCTTTGTTTTCACTTTGTCTGCCAATACGAATTAAATAGAATCAATTTCAAAATCAATTAGAGAATCAATATTTCCTACAATATTATTGCTAATATATTCGTTACTTTCGTTAATTCACGAACTTTTAAGTTTTGTTGTTCATCAAATTGACATGAGTTTTAACACTTAAAAATTTCGTGTTTTTTATAATCGAATTAATTAATTTTATCAATTTATAGAGGAAAAAATAATTTTCTCTGATGTCAATATTCTAAAAAAATTAAAGAGAAAAAGATGCCTTCTTTTAGAAAAAAGATGAGAGTCTCAACTAATTCCACTCTACCCTAATAAAGCTAGAGCTGAGAGATATTGATAAAAACCAAACGTTTGTCGCGTACAAAAAAATAAATAAAAGAACATAAATTTCATTCTTACGCGAAAATCTTACGTAAATCAAATCATTACAAAATGCAATCTATTTTTAGTGATATAAATCGCATATAAACGCACCGTGCATTTAAATATATTTCAGTTTTACTCTTTTACGATGTGCTTATATAAGTAAATAAAAAAATCGTATATATCGTAAAAAGCGTCAAATAATGGCAGTATAATTTTTATACTAAACACTAAACTAACTTTTCTCGGATTTTCGATGCAAGCAATATTATCAGCCAGAGATACAAGCTCTATCCTATCAAAAAGAATTTGTTATGCCATTTCTCTCCCTCATTCAAGACATTTATGTCATTCGTATCGTTTTTTAAGAAAATACAGGGTACATTCATTATAATCTTAACAGCTAAATATTTAGCAATCCCGGGGGTTTTAATATATATATATATATATATATATATATATATATATATATATATGTATGTATCATGCAAAAATTGTAGCATTTCGAGGAAGACATATCGTGACTTAAAACTACCCTCGAATAATATTTAAGTCATTTAAAGGTCAACAAGTTTTTTTTGTAATTAAATATCACCCTAATTTTTTATATAAATTGATTCCTCGCAATATTCGACATAAAAATTTATAAGAATAGAATAATCAAAAAATAAATGAGTTTACGAGATATTTTATACTTTAATTTTAACAAACTATGAAATATATCTGTAAAATATTCATTTTTTAATTATTTTATCTCAATACTTTTTATATACAAGATACTTTGTTGTAAAAAGTGCATAATTACTTTTAAAAAAGTATGTAATTTACAACTATATTTTGCCTGATACATTTCTTCTTAAAACCCTGTGATTTTCAAATATTTGCCTGTTAAGGCTCCTTATTTCTCATCGCGACCATGTTAAATTGTGACGTTAGAGGCGAAAAAAATACAGGCTGAAAATTTTTCCATACCATTTTCAGATAAAAATATAGTTTAATAAAATACAACTTCGGACGGCTTTAGCGCACTTTTAAAATATTCAGAAAACTACCTCTTTTCCTTTATAATCAATCAACGCAGCTGTAAAATGTCCGTAAAATGACAAAGTCTGATGTCACAATTATTTTACGGTTGCTGATTGACTGTCAACAGTTGTGCTTAGATGATTTTAAAATTATCTAGATAAAGATAAGATGAAAATAAGTAAATTCATCCTAGATAATATGAAGATGATTTTGAATTTAAACATATCTAAATAAAGATAAAATCATATATAGCGATTCATCTAGATAACTTCCAGATAATTATATTTTTAAAATTGCTTATGTAAACATAGTTATCAAAAAATGTAAATTATAAAAGGAATATAAAAATATATTCTTACTTTTATTTGTAAATTTTTATCGCTTTACTGCTTAAGTCTACTACTTAATAATATATATTTTTATTATCTATATAAAGATAAGATGTCAAAATTTTATCTAGATAATCATCTATATAATTTGATTATGTAACAGGAAACTGACTGTCAAAGTGTACTAAAAAACTATCTGAAGTTGTGTTTCATCAAAATATCTTTCTATCTACTAAAATGTTCAGCGCTTCCGACGTCATCTAACATGGACGCGGTGAGTATCAAAAGGAGCCTTAAGAGAGATTACAAATGAATCATCCTATACAAAATCCTTCGCAATGTATAATAACCAGTGCAATATCCTATCGCTGATGTATCGTTTCTTCTAAATCTGCTCATCATTGATATTATACACATATATATTTACATCTTGGGCAAAGAGCCGCGTCCTCACTTCTTCCGCAGACCGAAAACATGCGCGGCGAATGAGCCCGAGACGTAATTCGCCAGCGACACGAATAGATTGCTCACCAGGCGATAAACGTGGCCGTAGACCAGCACGGCGCACAGGCGAGTCTTTACAACGGACAAGGTGCACTTACTAGCAACTCGCGGCGAGGGTGGCGACTCATCGTCGTCGTCCACGAGGGTATGCGCGCCGGTGACGGTGGTTGTGGTAGTGGTAGTGGTGGTGGTGGTGGTGGTGGTGGTGATGGTGGTGGTGGTGGTGGATTCCACGCGCGACTCCTCGCCATGGTAGTCGTCGTTGTCGTTGTCACCGCGTTGTTTCTCATCGTAACAAACCTTGTCCCTGTCACTCAGTTCGACACGATTGTCATTTACCACCGAGTCCGCAAGACAGACGTTCGCATTGTCGCGATGACGCGGATCCTCCTGCTCTTTATTATTATCCTTGCCGTTGTCCACCTCGATGTCCATCGACGACGAGGTGACGAGCGACTTGGTAAGCTGATGATTGTCGACGGCGTCCTCGCCAGCGTCGACGTCGGTCTCGGGACCCAAGTCGGAGTAATCATAATCATCTTCGTTGCCGTCGCCGTCCTGATGCTTGCCGTTCCTGTCCATCCCGCAGATCACGCAATTCAAATCGAAATCGGCGCGATCGTGCAGGTCTTGCTGCTGCTGCTTGATGAAGGCAGCGTCGAACTGGCCGGAATTCGATGAGACCGGGTTATTCGGGTCCATGCTGTTCAGTAGTAGACCATTCGGTGCTGGATGAGTCAGGAGCGAATGCCGCGAGGCGATCTCGACGGGCGGTGTCAGGAACACGACGATCACGGTAATGTTGTCCAAGGACCCCGCGCGTTTAGCGCTCTGCAGTAGCGCCTGGTGCACGTGCTTGAGATCGTCTGCAAGGATAAAGAAACGACGTGAGTTAAAAATCTTGTACGACCGAATGATTGCTTTTTAATTGCTACAATTATATGTATTATATATCGTCCGGAGCATAATTTTGAAACAGTACACGTACATCCCTCACTGTTTGTCCCCAAGTAGCAAATTGACGTCATAGATGTCAAAATGACGTATGTTTGCTACCTGGGTCCCGTTTGTTGATTCGGTTTGTCTTCCGCTACCAAAAGTTCCGGCGCGACGGAATTTCGCGTTTTGCGGAAATAATTTTCCGATGTACACCTTAACGAAGCGCATAATTTTCATCGCGTGCGTGCCTTCTTTACATATATTTTCTCAGTACGAAATTATATTATGCAATTAAATTATGAAAAATTGCTTTATTTACGACATAGCAAAGAAAATAAATATATAATGATTCAAATCGAGATGTATTAATATTATAAAAATTAATAATATTATTTAGTATTGATCATAATATTAAGGCTTCTGGTGCTCGCTGCGGCCATGTAAGATTGTGACGTCAGAAACGGGAAAATACACACTGAAAATTATCTTGCGTGCCATTTTTAGATAAAAACATATTTTGATGAAACACAACTTCAGATAGCTTTAGCATACTTTTAATATATTAATAATTAATATAAATATATATATATATATATATATATATATACACATATATATTAATAATAATTCTGATATAGTTATTTTTTTACAGCCGTTGATTGATTGTAGAAGAAAAAAGATAATTTTCGGAATATTTTAAGTGTGCTAAAATCATCTGAAATGATGTTTCATCGAAATATCGTTTTATTTCGGTAAAATGGCATCCAAGAATTTTTCTCACCTCTGACGTCACAATTCCAGCAGGGTCGATGAGCGGCGAAGAGTCTTAACATTAATATCAATTAATACATACTAATATTATAATATTAGCAATAATTAATAATACAAAATATTAGTATAAAAAAATACTAATATTAATATTAATTAATAAATTATGTAATAACTGATATTACAAAAATTTTTAAAAGACTTGATGCGAGAAAAGAAAGTTCTAACTATAACAGAGAAATATTTTTCAATGGAATACGTTGTTCCGTAGTTAATTAGCTTATCGGCGTATTTCATCGAATAATAAAAGTGCAGCTACGGTTTATAGTCGGCGAAGTCAATGGTTCGTGAATAAAACATGCTCTCTTCAAGATCATCACGCGATCGCATTCAAGAACCATCGCGGCTATAATATCACATATATATATTTGTTTTCTAAAATATATGATTATGTACACAATCCACACTGATATTGCTATTGCAAGGTGTCATCATTCTCGTCACAATTTACATCTTTGATTTAAATCAACGATGCAAGAATTAAATGAGTTTAAAGAAGAAGATATAAGATAGATGAAGTATAAGAAAGAGGAATATATAAAGTTTTGGATATAATTTGTGGATATATAAACAAATATTTGAGAATATTATTTGATACGCGATATGTAAATATTGTTTAACAGCACTATTGTTATTATGTCCGAATGTATTTTTACATAAAAAAAACTTATTAATCACAAATCATCATTATTAAAATTATTTTTAAGGAATAAAATCTAGAAAAATATAATTATATATTTTTTGTTTTATTTTTAAATTTAATTTTCCATTTAATATCTACTTTAACACTTTAGGCAGTTAGATTATTTTCTATTTTAAAACTATTTAATCTAGTTTTGCCGTGAACTCTTTTATTAAACTCTAATAATACTTAAGGTATATACATAATTCCTACAAAAATGACCTAAAATCAAAATCCTTCAGAATTCATAAACGTAAAAAAGTAGAAGTTAAAAATATAAGAGCAAACTTTTTCGACTCGCGAATATATACAATAGATATAGGTATCCTCTTTTTCTTTATAGAATTCTTCTATGTAGAATTCCTCTTTTTTTGCATGTATGTGTATATATATATATATATATATATATATATATACATATATATATATATATATATATATATATATGTACAGAGTGTAACTAAAAAAATATATATGGAATATTATTCAAATTCTCTGGCCAATTTGAAGATAATTTTTTTCTCAGTGAAAATGTTGAGGCAGAAATAATTTTCAAGTTACAAATGATGAAAAAAAGTATGCTTCTCGTAAACTAAACACTTTGTGGAATTAAAATATTAACAAAACTACGTTCATTAGTTAATTTCGAGTAGAGTTCACTTCAACAAAATTTTTATTTAAGGCTTAGTTGCAAAGATACATGATAACAAAAAATGATAATCTGCCTCGACATTTTCGCTAAAGGAGAATCTCCAATTGGCCAAAGAATCTGAGTGTGCTTTATATACATATATTTTTCAGTTACACTCTGTATATATCACCCTTACCTTCACTTATGTCAAAAATATTAAGTAAACTTGTTTATTAATTAATATTAATTATTCAAGTTTATTATACCCAGGTAGCAAACTGACGTCATTAAACGTCAAAATTATGTCATTCGTCGTTTAATGACGTCAGTTTGCTACTTGGAAAGCTTAAAATTTAATGTAATTTTTCAAAAAATTTGGTTATATTCAGTTAATAAATGTATTCGCTGTAAAGATTAAACACACTGTATCTTTACAACCAGAATAAAACACATCCCACGTAGCAAATTGACCTCATTAAACGTCAAAATGACGTCATCGACGTCAAAATGACGTCATTAAACGGCAAAATGACGTCATTAAACGCCAAAATGACGTCATTAAACGACAAAATGACGTCATTAAACGACAAAATGACGTCATCGACGTCAAAATGACGTCATTAAACGGCAAAATGACGTCATTAAACGTCAAAATGACGTCATTAACCGACAAAATGACGTCATTAAACGTCAAAATTACGTCATTAAACGTCCAAATAACGTCAATTTGACATTTGATGACGTCAGTCTGCTACCTGCTTATGCTTATATACATTTTTTGCTTAAAATGTACAATCATGTCCTAGAATACTACCCATTCCTGCTGAAACACCCTGTTCAGAATTTGTCAAAAATTTCACGACTTTATTATTGTGCAAAATCAGTATTCGCGAATATTGTGCGGCCCTGGCGGAAAGTACGTTGACCTACGCGCTACACCGCCTATCGACGCCTGCGTAGTCCTCTCCCTCTCATTCGCTCCTTCGTCCTCCGCCCTCTCTCTTTTGGCGTTTCTCCCTCGTCGTTCCCCCTTCCTTACACCCCGATTCCTCTTTCTTTCTGCCCATCGCCGTTGCCGCTCACCTCTCTCTCTCGTCGTCTTCTCTTTCATTCTCTTGCATTCGCGCTCTAGTGACTTTATTACATTGCGAGAACATTTGCTTGCCATCTGGAGGCGAGGGAAGGAAGGGGGGAAGGAGAAAAATGTTAAAATTTGTCATCGAATTTCATATTTTTCTTCATATTTCTCTACCTCTTTTTCTTTCGCGAATGACGTCACTTGTCAAAAATCATCATAAACATGAGCAATGAAATTCCTTAAAAAAAAAAAAAAGCAAAATTCGCGTTCCGTGAAATTCGCCGAAATTCACCAAGGACCATGCAATTCGTGACTAACGTCAATGTCAACACGGTCATTGCGGATATCCGGATGCAGTTCTCTGGTGACGCATCGGGCAACCATGGGGGGACCGACGTTACATCGATCAATAATTGGGTATGTCAATGATAAATTTATTTCTAATTGATAAGAAAATATATATATATAGTAAAAAAAAAAAATATATATATATATATTATATATATTATATAATAAATTAAAGACGAATAAAAAATAGTGCAGTATTTATTATTGTAAAAATGAATAAATTGCTAATTGAGAAAGCTATATATATACAATATATCGAAATATGCAAATCAAAGTGCCATAGCAAGAAAGTTTTTGAAAAAATAAATTATATAGTATATAGGAGTAAAATCATATCTGAATATTTTGAACACATGATGCATTTTTTAATACATGGTGATATTTCTATAGGAAAGCGTGTAACAATATCGGGGGAAAAAGCGAACGGGAAAATCGGTGAGTCGCACTAACGATTATCCATATATTCTCTCGAGGATTCAATTAACGCGTGTCGCATTGTTAGCGCAAAGAGGGTAAGCGAAAAAAACGAACGTTCACAGGAACAACGCGTAAATGATGTGATAGAATGACGCTTATTCCCTTTGAACTCTCAATGAAACCGAAGTTTTCAGCGCATTAACACTTTGCGTGAATTGTAAAAAAATTATTTATTATATATCAAATTTATATCTAAAAATATATCTAGTAGTGTTTATATCTAAAAAGAATATATTAAAAATATTTTTTATTTTGTCATTTGTCGTGTATATCATTTTTATTTATTTATTTTTACGTTATTTTTGTGTTAATATAATGTGTTAGAAAAAAGAGTTTATAGAAAAGAATGCAATAAAATTAGGATATACTAAAATTTATATTTTGAAAGACTCGTAGAAGAAATTTGATTATGAATAGAACCACTTAAAGAAGATTAATAGATTCTAATCATGTTTTCAAGGCGACATTGATTGCTGTCCAAGGTTATTTATGGTAGAGACCGGCTACATACACTGATGAAGCAGAACTGTGATAGACTGTGAATGACATGAGATAGTGCATATCGATGTTCGTTATAATGATAATTATGTATGACACGATAATTAAATCGATGTGGAATAATTAAATAACAGATGTTTTTGTGAATAAAATAATATTTCCCTCTAAACCAATAATTTATAAATGAAACAAAGATCTAGATTTAAATTTTTAAAATGCAAATAGTAAAAAAATACTTCAAATTATAGCTTAAGAGTTTCAAAGATATTTACTTATCTAAATTGCATATTTAAAAATACCGTAAGAATTAAATCACTGGTTGTTATAATTTTCTGTTAATAATTTTTGAAATTTTTTATAACTTTTCGTTGAAGCTAAATTAATTTTAGATCGAGAATAAGAACTGATAACTGGAAAGAGTAACCAACTCGAAATCACATTTTCATATTAAGTATATAGACATATAATGATGATATACTTAATATAACCTCGCAATATAATTTAGCTATTCAGAACTCATCATCGAAGGCCACGTAAAAAATGACGACATTAGTTATCGACTTGATTGTGCATGATTTTACATGAATAAATTACTTTCGAAATATGGGAAAACAGAAATCGTCGCAATAAAATTGCTCGATAATTTCATATTGTATAAAAAATGTCTGCTAGCAACGTACATAAACAACACTGATAGGTGTAATCATTTTTTACAGTAAAAGTATCTTCTGTAATTTTTAATTATTACAAATCGTAGACTGTTCACTGTGCATAAATACACCGGAAAACTGACAATAAGTGACAAATGAAGAAGCGACTGCCCTATACTCTGGCGGTGAAAAAATAAAAAGTAGTAAGTACACAAGCGACACTGATAGGTATAACCATTTTGTACAGTAAAAATATCTTTTGTGATCTTCGATTATTGCAAATCGTTGACTATTCACTGGGCATATACCTCGAAAAACTTAGAGACAAATGGAAAAGCTGTGTAAAGCGACTGTCTTGCCATCTGGCGGTGAAAAAGTGAAAAGTAGCAGTAAGTAAAAAAGTTAATCGTACACGCAGTTCCAGCTACAGGTCGACGCTGTGTAACACCGTGTCACCTAGTGTTCAGCTGTGGCATTTTGCGAATTACTTAAGTATTAAAAATAAAGTAAAATTTGTTTTTTTTTCTCGCGAACGAAGCCCGTGTAAGTCGGGCAACCGATGATTGTACGGACTCTCTGCACAACCGACATATACAGCTGCGAGATAAATTACACGGAAATATTGGATTACGCGTGTATACCGGGACGTGTATATGCTGCCGTGAAGAAAAAAAAAAGAAGAAAACGAGGCTTATTCCTCTCCACATCCGCTCTCTCGCGATCTCGGGACTGATCGGAATTTTGCGCGGCCAATCGTCTCGGTCACGAATCCGTCTCTCCACGGCAGAACATCGTCCGCGGTTTCTCTTTTTTTCTCCTCGTCAAAACGGTCGGCTTCTATATACCGATATGAATTATGTAGGTGGCACGCGCGTAAGTATTGTATCCAGGTTCTCGCTCGCGGAACGATCGTTGAACCAATGTTCATCGGAGCCGACTGCCTGTCTGTGTTCGCCTAAGCCTAAGGTTTGCGAGCTCACGCCTCTCCAAGTAAATCAACGTTTCACAAGAGTCATCGCTACGATGACCATTTTTTCTCATTTTTATCCTTAAAATACACCATTAAGGTCTCTGACATAGCTTTAGAAACGCCCTATTTTCTCAGAGAAAATAAAGAACAGAGCTGAACATTTTAGGGTCCTGTTTCAACATGTTTCCAAATCAATTTGCGGTCAAATTCTCATGTTAATACAACGATATTAGCAGTGTTGTGCTTAGATGATTTTAAAATTAGCTAGATAAAGATGAGATAAAAAATGTAATTTATCTTAGATAAGATGAAGATTTTGTTTTAAATATATCTAGATAAAAGATAAAATTATATGGCGATTCATTTAAATAATTTCCAGATAATATTTTTAAGATTGCTTATATAAACAGTTATAAAAATGAAAATTATAAAAGAAACGTATTAATATTTTTATTTATAAGTAAATATCATTTACTGCTTAAATTTTACTACTTAAGTATTTTTATGTGCTATGATTCTAAACCAAATAATCTAAACATTATTCTAAATAATTTAATAAAGATAACACTTTTTTTCATGTAAGATGCAGATGTAGATAATACATATTTTTATTATCTATATAAAGATAAAATAATGCCAAAGTTTCATCTAGATGATCATCTATATAATTTTATTTATAAATAACAGCAAACACTAGATATTAGATTTTAAAATGCTAAATAAAAAAAAGGACAAAATTGTAATATAAATAAATTTTTTTAAATAAAGAATAAAATTGAGTTTTACAAGAATGAATAAATCTAAAGGACAGTTACTTGAAATAACGGACAGATGGTCATCGTAGCTACATATTCGCTGATTAAACAAAATCGGAAAAGCTCTCGGTGTGTATCTCGCAGATATTTAATATTATTTCAAATCTTATCTATTCTAATGCTCGATTTTCCCAGACCGGATGAGTATTTATAAATTATTTTCAGGTAACACTATTTTTTATCCGAAAAATAAAATTTATTAGACGATGCCAAAATATAAAAATAGCTCAATATTTTTGTTTATTTCAGTTCATGTATAATAATTACCTGCGTTAAAAAAATAAAGAATTAAATAATATAGTTTCTAAATATAAGAGCCTAAAAAAATTATATTTCTTCATATCATTCCGGTTTCACTAAACAATGGTATATAATTTTTTTTTTCGACTATTATATATATTATATTCGATAAATAAGAGAAATCGTATTTGTCCGATTTCTTGTGTCTTGCTCTGTTACTAAGGGAGAAAAAACTCCAGGTTTCAACGTGTTTCTTTCTACATCGATATTTTTCAAGAGGTTTACAAATTCTCGCAATTATCGAAGGTATTTCAATTTTCTCGTATTTCCCAGATTTGTTTTACTTATAGACGAAATTTAAAATATTTTTATGAAAAGTTTAATAATTTTTTTCGCCGAATACATCAAAATATTGTGAAAATTGTTGTCACAAAATTTGAAATGTTCTAGACGACTTGTCAGGTTGTCCGTTACTTGGCACACATGAAGGACGTTACTTTTGATCTTATTTAAGTACACATACGCCACAATAATATAGAATTAATTTATTGAAACATATATATAAGGGAAAAATTATGAAAATTTTTCTTCTAATTTATTAAATATTTTTCATCCCTCGCAAAGTCTCTTTCTTCGATCGCGGATTTGCAAAACAAAAAAACGGTTTGAAATTTTCGAATGATCGTCAAGGACGGGGCAAAGATATATAAAACAACGAGCGAAAAAAAACTGTGTAGCGATGACTCACGCTTTATCAGAAGATCCCAGGACTCGAGCAGCAGGTTTCCTGCGAAACAAAGCTTCGCAACGAGATCCAAAGTATAAATTTGTGTGCAGACTCCGACGAAATGACGGTGCACAGGACAACGAAAGGGAGCGGATGTTACGCTCTCCTACCGCAAGTATGTGTATATATATATATATATATATATATACTAATGCACAGGTATGTTTTCGAAGGTATTTTCTACCTGACCGCGGCGGCGGACGTCGCGCGCGGACCAAGTTTACGTTTGAAAACCGTTCGCCGCTCAAAGCACGACGTTACACCGGGCGTGGCGTGTCACGACTGAGCCCTCGCCGGCGCGAGGCGCGATCTCGCCGGCGCGCTGCCGCTGCCGAGACCCGCCGCCAGGCGGCGCTACCGTCGATCCCGGTGCGATGACTCATGCGTCACCCTCGTGCGACCGGCTTCGCCCCGTCGCACCTTTTCTACAGGGTGTCCAATGTTGTCTAAACAATCAATTTATGTAGATGATCTAGATTAAATTTTTTGGCGTCATCTCATCTTTATATAGATAAAAAATATGTACCATCCCTAATAACACAACATATGCGAAAGATATTCAGAGATATTAAAACATCCTCAGGATATTCTCTGAACGTCTTCAGGATATGTGCGCTGTTAGAGATCTATTTGTTAGAGAAGAGAAAAATTATATTTAGAATAATGTTCAAATAATTTGGTTCAGACTTATAGCACCTAAAAATGCTTATAATTAGCAGTGAGCGATAAAAACTTACAAATAAAGGTATAAATATATTTTTATATTTGTGTTTATATAAACGGTCTTAAAAATAATATTTATCTAGATATAAATCGACATATAAATCAAAAATATAATTTTATCTTTTATCATCACCCTCGAAATATATTCACGATTTCTCTGATACATCAGAAAAATACATGCATTTGTCGTGAGCTTCGTGGTTTTATTCACAGATATTAAAACAGATAGAGGTAAAATTTCAATATTCTATGGGCAAATGAAAATGGTATCAATCGCGACACTTTTGGCGCGCAATGCAATTTTTATTCTGCAGTATATCGAAGATTGAACTCGTCGAAATTATACCACTTGCTTTCTCACACACACACACAATCGCTACTTTCACCAGTGTAGAAAGTTCCTTTTTTAATGAACACGATCGATGCTCTCGCGCAATTGTTTATGTCGATGAGAGAGTGTTATTTCGTACAAATATGGAGAAACGCAATAAGCGAGAAGTTTAATATGAAGATTTTGCTTTTTGAGATTTTTATGTTTATATAAATACATGTGAATGCTCCTTTTCTTTTCCTTTTCAAACAAAATCATTTTGTAATTAATAGCAAAACGAAATGTCGCGTTATCGTATTTAAGGGATTTTAGAAAAATACGTATTATATCGTATACATATATATATGTATATATATTGTATATATATATACACACACACACACATATATATATATATATATTAATATATATATCAGGGTTGTGTAATAACTAGTTAATTAGATAAAAGTTAAAAAGTTAATAACTTTTAATTTAGCTTAATTAATTTAAAATGTAATTTTATTTAATTATTTTTTACTTTAAACTTTTTTTCTAAGTTAAATTTTGTTTATCTCTAAATACCATTATTGTTTTTTTATAAGTTATTAATGTATTATTTTTAAATTAAAGTATTAT